GCCCAGCATGTTACTTGGCAATACACAGACTTCCAGTTGGTTTCTATTTTCTTAGCAGTTGCAGTTGCTCTCTAAAAGGATTTTACCCAAGTACTGTATACATGTACAAAAGCATCTTCTATTGTCAGACTTCTGAGCCTTAGTAGTGTTACTGCCTAGGAGCATGCTTGTTCTGTTCCCTGTTTCATGTGAACACAAACTCACCTGAGGGCATAAACAGTGTTGTGAAATAGCTTCTTATATCTTTTTTCTTACAGTTCTAGCTTTTAGTATCATAGTTGACAAAACTCGACCTAATGCCTAGTAACTGTTAATATTGAGCTGCTGTTTATAAAAATGTCAAATTTCGTTTCCAAGGTCTAATGTTTCTTAAAGAAATTGCACTATTTCTCTGGGCAAGCTTCAATGCCCGGATTCTTTCTTTAAATTGTTTAAGCAGTGCCTGATGGCATGTGCCAATCCAAGCACATGGTATGTGCACAGCTTCAAGCCCATACAACAGGCACTTAGAAATACCAGGATAGGAGAAAACTTCAGTTTGTTTTTAAAGAAGACTATTTTGAAGACTCAAACCCCAGAATTTCAGGGGAAATCAAGTTGAAAGATAAGGGTGAGATGGTAGCAAGGTCACTGCTAAGTTTTAGCTATGTTTTCTCACTCTCTCCAGTGGCAAGAACTGAAAGCTATTTCTCTTACAGCAGGTGAGAATGAAGTGTTGTTGGGTGAAGATTTGTTATTTGTGACTACTGTTCACCTAGGAGCAAGAACAGCGCAAAGAGCTGTTTATTCATGAAAGCTGCTAGCAGAAGACGTTGGCTGATACATGCGAAGGCTGGGAAGTGATGTCTCCAAGGAGCAGGATCTGGGCAGTGCTATAATGTCCTTTCTGCACCTCAGAAAGTCCAGATGGGCTGACTCTCAGTGACATCCATTGCGTCCAGTGCCCCTTGTCAAATGTAAATGTCATGGCTCTGCATTGCTTTTGCTAATATAATCTTCCACTGCAGGATTTTCTTACGTATCTACCAAGCCTATGTTGACTATAGTCTTTGGGGCTTGAGTTCATCACTCGTGTTTCCTTTTTTTTAGCTTCTTTTGAGGTTTCATAGCTCACGCAAGGCTGCAAGGGCCATGAACAAAGTACATGAATACGCAACCACTTGCAGGCAGAGTAAACAGCTCTCAGGCAAGAGGACTGCTATTAAAATGGGTTGTTTTGTTGGCAGAAGTGGCTTTCACTGTTGCCTTGGGTTGCCCAAGGTGAGCCTGACCTCTGTGGTCTCTGAAGCTCTCTTTTGTGGGTGAACTGAGCGATGCTGGAATGCAGCTTTTAAGATGGATTAACTGTGAACCTAACACAGGAAACTGTTCAGAGGGAGTAAAAATACTACATTGCACAACTACGGATGAAACGTACCTTTTGATCCCATAGCATAAAATTTCCAAGGCTGAGAATGTGATTATTTGATAGGGCCGTAGTCAGCTTGTCAGTCTCCTCTTAGGGCAAAATTCTGCCTTTCTATGTGCAAGGAAGGGCAGCAGAGAGGCAAGCACGTGGCTGACGGAGATGGGACTGCGCTTTCCTGCTCTGAATGAGTAAGGTAACAAAACCATGCACACCACCTAGCCTTTCTCAGCCAGAGCAGGTCTTCACATGCCAGGTCTTTCTCCTTTGAACTCTAAGTCTTGATGCAGTTTTGCATGACAAGCATGTCATAGCAAAAAAACCTGCATTTCAGTGCTAACTTGCAACTGAAATATGTGCAAAGGCTGTTCCTAAGAAACACCAGTCATCCACCCAAGTGAAATTCTGATTTGCTAGCTGCACCCTGGCAACGTAATATATTCGCCTAAGGATAAACATGAATTGAGGTTTCTGGAAAAGGATGTATTTGTTCCTTGCTCAGTTTATAAGCTCTCTAGCCAACATCTGCAAATCTCTTAGATATGCTGTAAAATGGCAGATTACTATGCTTGAGATCATTCACCAGGCCTGCAGGGCAGAACTGATGGAGATTTATCTGAGCTAAATGAAGTTTTCTGTTTGATTAGGGTGGTGGCTTGGCTTGTTTGGGTTTGGTTTAGGTTTGTTTGGGGGTTTTCTTTGAGATTAGTTCTTTTCACTTTAAAACTGCTATGGTAGGTGTTGGCTCCCCGTTATATCACAGCTTAAAAACCCCAAACCTTTTTGCCACAGATGTTACAGGCAAAACAGTTTGAAGATTTTTGCTTTCTCTGCTAAAGTTACTACTAAAACATGCAGCACACTGCTGAGCTGCACAAATAAGGATCAGGACTACAAAATATGAGTTAGTTGTCAACTATGGACACTTACAAATGAAGAAACACTTTTGCAGTCCAATACCATTACAAGATTCAAATCTAAAATGAGACAGATTCTAGGCATCTAAGTCCAAGCAATGAACCAAAGAATCTGAGCTTGGTGCCAGTGGGGCCTCAACAGTAGGGAGTGATTGTGAACACTGTTGACTAGTACAGACAAAGCCTGTAATTGAGGAAGACAGGGCGCCATGATTGAACATCACCGATCCTTATCCTGCCCCCTTCAACTTAATTCCATAATCAGCACTTGCATCACTGAGAGGCTGGAAATGTTACTGGGGCCTCTCCTTCAGCATTAAGGTATCTCAAACAAGTCCCTTCCTGTAAGGATCTGCCTCCTTTGAAACAATCTTTCACCCTGCCCTATGGTTAGCTTGGCTTAAGACAGCAAATTGCCAGAAAAATACTGGAATTTAGAAATAGCTTCAGCTTAGCCCATTTCTGCCTTCAAATCAGTGGGTTCTACAGTTATCTGTGATTCCTGAAAGCACCATCATTCAGCATCCAGCTGGCATCCATTTGACTACTGTTGCTGCTGGAGGCGGTAACCAACAACCACCCTCATTGCTGAGCCTAATCCTGAGTTCAGCAAAAGGAAACTATTGCACGCCATCTCGTGGTCCTGCACAGCTACTTCCTGGAAACAAACAGAGCTCCAACTGCGACAGGGAGGTTTAATGTTGGGCAGGATTGATTTAAAAGATGGCTGTCGGGCTCAGAAACAGCCCACTCTGTGACCTCACCAGAGCCATGAAACGTTCACCACGAACACTTCGCCCACATTCCTGCCTTGACCTTGCAGCCTGAGCAGCTGTTTCGTGGAGCCTCAAGCTGCAAAATGCACCTCTTCAGCTCAGTTTCTCGGAACAGCGCCGTAGAGCCAGCCCCACACTCACAGCAACCACAAGTACTCTGAACACCACTGCCCCCACAGCAGCCTTTGGTGGAGCAGGAAATTACCTTATTCAGTTTATAGTATGTCACAGACGTCAATAATTCTTAATTATATGCAAGGCTAGGGATGTTCATGGTACATCTATCTTCTTATCTGCTGTCAGTACCTGTTAAAGAACTCCATGTGTCAACGTTTCAAATAAAGCTAATATGCCTATTAGTAACTGTTCATTAACAGCTGAACATAACTAATGGAAACAAGGCCACATCGGCTGTCAGTCACTTAAGTCCTTATCCCTCCTTACTTTCTTTTCTGGGGAAAAAGTCATTAAGACACCCTTGCCAGAAATTATTAGGGTATGATTTGATTAAATCTAGTTGAGGGAATTAAAGAACAGGAAAAGAGTGCATTAGTATGACTTCAAGATCTTCGTTTCTAGTTTAAGTGGTAAGTTTTTGACTCCTCAGTGTTTATCGCTTTTTAGCTGGGAGATTACAGCTTAGAATCTGCACCACTGAATCCTCTCTGAAGTCATGTTATCTTTAGCAGAACTGCTGATGGTTACACTCAAACGCTGCCTTACTTCCACTGCTCTCTACCTAAGGACTCTAGTTCAAGGCATCTGACTACAGGCAGCAATTGCTCATGGTTACACTCAAACGCTGCCTTACTTCCACTGCTCTCTACCCAAGGACTCTAGTTCAAGGCATCTGACTACAGGCATCAATCGCTCTAAATTTGGTATGCGACAAAACTTCTGTTTCTACTGTTCTTGGGTTAGATAAGGAAAAATAATGATGACTTTAGGTGTGTAAGGAAGATACAGAAAAGACTGATACACTTGTGAGGCTTTATGAAGCTCAACACTTCCTCAATATACAGCAAAGCAAAGAGGGAACATCCTTCTTCTCATGCCAAGGTTTAATTCCGAGGTATGTGACACTGGATTTACAAAGGTAAATCAAAAATACAGTCTGAGAAACAGTGAGCCCTCTACTTAACAAGGCAGAGGAATTTCACACTCCAAGAAGAAACAGCTCACAGTGTGAAGTATTTGGTGGTCTGTCTTCAACATAGACTTTTGATACAACAGATGATGATGGGGGGGGCACAGAAATAGTGGGACAGAGGAAAGGCAAATACTTAAGTGAAAAAGATGAGACAGGGCAACAGGTCCTAGATAAGGCTTCCACTTGAATCAATTCTTTGAGACATTATGATGAGCAGTTAGATGCAAGTCCTATTCCAAACAGTGATCAGACACACTATTGCCAAAAGCGATTACATAGCTGTTGAAACAGACTTTGGCTTCAGCCTGCTGCTGATATGGCTAAAGTTTGCATATGCTGGAAGCAAACACATAGAAATGAAACATCAGTTGTATAGAAAGACTGGAGTAGTACAGAATTGTTTTCTGCATTGACTGTACCTGATACCAGGAGTGAAGGCTATCACCTGGAATATAGCACAGGCAGTAGTTTTGCGTGTATAACCTACAGTTAATCTGCAATTATCATCCTGAACATCAATTTTAAAAGCCAAGTATGAATCATATGCAGACAGATTTCATGACTCATTGCTGCAACTGATCTAACTGCTAGTGCTGATCCTGCCTGCCATTAAGAAGTCTGGCATTCCCTCTTGGATCCACTCCTCTGGAGGGGAGCCCTTTCACGATCTGTGCTAGAGAGCTGAGATAAAAACACTTAAATGAGAATTCAAGCATTAACCAAATAAATGTGCTATTTTGTCACATGAAGGATAAAATACCAGGAATTTATTGCTGTATGTATGCTTAATCCATTAACTTGTCTTACAGTAGTCATGAAGTGCTAAATTGTGTGCCATATTAAGCATTTCCTGTGTTCCCTTCCAAATGCCATTTTACAGCGGGCATATGAAACAACACAGCAGCAGTCACAAAACATGGCTTGAGCATCTCTCAAGAGCTTAAAAACAAAGATTTGTGTAAAAGCTGAATAACGAGATGTCAGTTAATAGGTCACTCAGCAACTTTAATAGAAATATCTTTAGGTGGAAGTTTTGCCATGTTAAAATATACAACTCGGACTAAACATTCTCATCCCCACTGTAGTAACAAGATACTTGCAAAGATCAAGAAGTATGGTATGTAAATGTCACACGCAAGAACCGCTTCATTTCTATCCGAAGCAAAAACTGCTAATTATAAGCAAGGACAGGCCTAGCAGGCTAAAGCCATCAGCCTATATTAAAAACATATACCTCCGAGTTTGGCAGTGGAAATCTATGTACCACCTTGACTTGTTTTTTGGTTACATACAAGTACTCTTCTTCCCCTCCCACCACACACACTTTATAAACCCCCTTTTATTTTTATTATACCTCCATATTATTTACAGGACTCCTAAGATTAAGTACAAACTAGTATGAAATTAATGATAGGTTGCTCTTCAAATATGTATCCAATGGCTACATAAATACCAAGCCAATCCAACAGAGTGACCTGGAGTTATGATTCAGAAGCTTGTGTATCTGTGACTCCAGAGGTTTTCTCATTAACTGTGGAGGATTCACTTGATCTGTCAACAACAGTTGCCTTAGAAGTTGGGGTAGTACTATCCAAGGTGAGCGTCGAGGTCTGTTCTACATTTACAGTAGTGGCAGGGTTGATCGGAACGCTTCCGGCTTGAGTAATGGAGGGAAGCAAATCTGTAGGCACTGTAGATGCCTCTGTGACCAAAGGAAGCAGAGGAACACATTTGGGTGGCACTGATAGAGGTGTTATTCCCATTAGATTCAGCGGCAACAAGGAAGGAAGGGATGGCAAACCTAAGGAGAAAACAGGGGGAAAAAGGAAAAATAAAAAGGCAGCATGAGCAGCTGCATACCACAGACAGAGCTGGAGAGATTCTCCACCTGCTTAACTTTTTTATCATATCTAATCTCCTGTTTACTCCTGGAGAGGGGGAAGCTTTTTGAACTTAGTGTGAGCATGACATATGTGCAGCACTGACTCAGCAAGCTAGTTTCAAGCCTGATACTTTTCAAATTTCAGAATTGAGGATCAGAATAAACTCAAGTTTGCTTCTACCTCCCCTGAGGACTGGGTATTTATTGCATTAATACTGATGACTAGATTTTTCTGCCATTCAATGAAACTGCCAGAAACAAGAAGTTAACGAGAACCTTTTATTCTATATGAGCTTCCAATTTCCTTTTGTTTGCTTCATGTACATCTTCAGCAGTTTTGTTTAACTCAAAACCATAAATCTATTATTAGTTCACACTGCTGGCATTCAGTCATGGTGCTTCGAACGCCTCATCTGGCAAACAAGGATACATCTCACAATTTCCTCTACCCATAAAACTATACACTTTCATTCTTGGCACAATCCCTTTGGAGATCATAAATCAGGTAATATAAGGTGAAACAACTAAGTACAGACACAGGTTTCTAATTAGTTTATCTAAAGACATATTCCTTGTCTACCTAATGGGGCACTACCGTCAACTCTCATCTTCAATTCATCTTCTTCAGGACTCAACCGGATGACTGGCTCTAACTGACAGCATCAAGGATCATCAAGGACAGACCTGCTATTACAGTGTTTCAGTTTGCAGAAGGACATACCGGGCTGCACGATTTCTGGGACAATGTGTGGTGCAGGTAAATTAAGTTTGGACAGATCAGTCAGGTTGGGAAGTCCTGCTGGTAATGGCATCAGACCTAAGAGAAGAGTGGAAAAGTTACAGCTGAGAAATTACAATCATTTTTTTCCTAACTGTTTCCGAGATCTTACTGAAAATTTACTTCGCTTTACATCTTGATGAATGCAAGTTCACTCAAGTTTCAACTTTTAGGTATCTGTCTTCACTGTGCAACTTATAGCAGAAAGTCCATACTAGCAAATACATAATCCCAACTTTTCAGATTTTTCTGAGCAAAGTAGAATCTTATATTAAGGAATTAGTAGGTTTGTATTCCAAATTCAGCTTTAATAAAGGTGGCTATTTCACCACAGCACCGTACAGAAGCCCTCCATTCCTGTATTGCACAGCAAATAATAATCATAGGATGAAATACATAGTACTATTGGTCTCTTAATACTGATTACTATTTCTTTTCTACTTGGTTCATAACTAGAATTAAAACCACAAAAATATCTAGAAAAGGTAAGACAAAGTAACTTTGAAAGTCAGGATGAGCTGAGAAGAGAAACACAATGAGCACGACACATGGTCTTCCATCATTGTGTTCGCTGTGGAACATCTTTCCGCTCTTGAATCTCCTGTCTTACAAAAGCTGCATTTCTGAAACAAGGGTGCTATTCTTACTTTATGTTTAACTCGGAGAAGGCTATTTCTAAAATAAACTGTTGATACTACTGTAATAAGACAGAGAAAAGTCTTAAAGCAAGGCCACAGTAGAGAGATTTTGATTAAAACCCAGCCATCTTTACCTACCTGTGAATTCATTAGGCACAAAGGCTGACATAATCTGACTCAAAGAGCTTTCAGCTCAGCTACAAGGGACTTTGGTTTGAACTTTTTTTTTTTAAATCTGAAAACAGATGAACTTCATACAAATACATTCAAATTTTAACCTGTACATTTAATATTTAGAATTTCACTATATAGTCATGCAAACTGCAAATAAATATTGATAGCTCTCAAAAAAGCAAGGATAGTGTTCACAGAACAAGGTGAAAGGAAAATTTGTATTGGCAGATTTTGGGGAAAGGATGGGTAAGGGGCTGGGGAAGAAGGGGACGTTAACAGGAGCTGAACTTCTTAAGTTGTTATCTATTTTCTCTAAACAGTACAAGATTAAAGTTGCTTGCCCTTTTGCATGCCCTTCGCTCTACTACACATTTTCTTCTATGTTAGAGAGCATTCCTCCACGCATGACTTAAAACTCTCCGACCCATCTTTATGTACATGTCTTATAGCATACAAAGCATAACACACAAGTGCTTCAGTGTCTGGAGTGCACAACTGAGTCCTGTACCAGTGCACCAATTACACAGCAAAATCGTACACAAACCTCATGTTTCCCACTGTGAATTACTTTCATATACCAGTTTAAATTACTAAGTAATTTAGAAACAGTAGCTGCAACACACAGATCTTTTTTGTTAGACCTCTATTTATACTAAGAAGAATGACCAAGCTAAGTATTAAAAAGGAATTTCCTAAGCTGGAGGCGTTATGGGTGAAAAGAATGCAGAAAGGCAAGACTTGCCTTCTCAGATCTTTCTTCCCTCATGATGTACCAGGGCAAAAGACAAACGGGAAACTGTGAAGTTATTTGCAAAAGTGTTTTGCAACAGACAATTTATGAACCGTGGAAAGTAACAATGTATCGACTCCAGAAACACTGCAAAGAGCAAGGCTAATACCTTCCTGAGAAATTCTGAACCGCATCTATTGTGCAGGGGACCCTAAAGGGGAAACGATTGTAAACTTTGTTGCCATCTCAGTCCTCTGTGCTACAGACAAGCTGGCACATACCCTAACAAAGCAAACAAACAAAACCCAAATCCTAACACTGTAGAGGTGGTATAGAGATCTTTAACATGAAATGTGCAAGTTGTATGAAGTTACACCCTCTTGCCACCCAAAGGCAGCGGAAAAAAACAGCTATTTCTACTTGCTTCCTTAAGAATTTTGTTTCAAAAATGTTTTAAGAACTTTTCCCTACTCACCTGGTAATGTTGTTGCTGGGTTAACTGGTGGCACAGAGGTGAGGGACTGACTGACTTGTGGTGGTAATAATGGAACTGTTGGAACACCTGGTGGCATACACAGGAAAACAACATTAATTTTAAGCATACAACACCTCAGCTCCCTTCCTTGAGGAGTACAAATAACTAATTGCTTACAGAAGAACTGCTATTTGCCTTAACCATAAAATGGTGATGAAGAAAAATAGTATTCTAAATAATACACATCATATTTCTGATAGAATTTGTTTGCAGTTGTTTCATGAGCAAGTAGGGCACAATTACAGTACTCCAGCATTTCTTAACAAGTTTGGGGAAAAGAATATTTTATTCTCTTCTGCCTTCTATTAAATTGGTAGAAACATCTGTGAATGCAAAAAAAAGGCAGAAACCTCACATATTTCAGAAGTCAGTTACTTCCATACTAACCTGTACTGAGAACGTTACTGACAGTAGTTGAGGGTGAACTAATAGAAAGTCCTGAAAGACTCTGTTCAAGTCCTGCTGACCCAGGGGGTAATGTGGCTGTGGGATTAACTGATGACAGCTGAACCTTATTGGAAGGAAAAAAGGGAAGTTCCATTAGAGTTTGCTTCCACAAGAATCAAGAGGCAGAAAAACAATATAACATCAAGCTGTTTTTACCAAGGCAAAGAACTGACTACAATTTACCTCTGTGAAGCCATCTTTGAGAGGACTGAGAGATGCACTGGGCAACTGTCCTGGGAGAGAAATTTTCTTTCCCTCTTCAAATGGGCGTGTAGGTATCCTATGTAAATATCCATAACCAATGCCACAGCCTAGGCTTTTAAAATGTGAACATTGATAAGTCAGTAAAGTGACTTTACAACTACAGACTTCATAGCAAGCAACGAAGCTGACTCAAGACGTCAAGTTTCAAGATAAGTTCTGTACAACTTTCCTCTTTCCCCCCCCATGTTGTCTCCCCCCCCCCCCCCCCCCCCCCGAGAAATAATCAATACAAGACAATGGAAAGGAAATTCTGTAGCTTTTAGCAATAAACATTTAGCAGAAAATAAATTGTTATTTAAACCAAGCAACTACATCAGATACACAACCTGGAATTCAACTCACAGTTGATATTTGCAGTCCTCTGTTCTGGCTACTGTGCAATACTTTAATAATATACTACAGCTTAATGACTATTTAAAGCCTAATGCAGAAAGCAACCATTGCACTAATTTACACCCCCCATTGGTAACTAAATCTGAATTTCAAATAAATATAATTGATTATAGCAGAAACACCTTTGATATAACAACACTCTTTTCCTGTCTTTGGAGAAAACATAAGCAAGCAGCTTTTAGGCTAGCGCTGTAAGAAAGTCACCCCGCTCCCCTGTAACATATTGTCTCCTTACCTGCCTTCTCCACCCCAGGAAGAATTTGGAGTAATCACCACCTCCCGACAATTATCAGTGTCTGTGTTGTACACGTAAAGTTTTAATGGCTTTGCTTCATGTGTTTCAATAAGGGAAAAGAGATCTTCAGACTGTGAAAGGATAAAAATGAATAAGGGCTTTCTTGTCTTTATTTTATCTTTTGACATTAGAATGATCACCCTACTAGACCTATCTTTCTGTGGTAACTGCTACATGCTGCAATTGTAGTGCTGTTGTTTAATCCCAAGGGCAACTTTAAAATGTGCTTTCCTAGAGCACTTCAGAAGATGTGGCACAACCCAGACTTCAAATCTGCTATTTGAAATATTAATATTAGAGTACAAAAAAGTTTCTATCTGACTTCATGAAGACACCTGAGAGCAGTTTTTATTTCCAGAATTGCATTTAAGCACGAAGAGGCACCATGCCAGCGCTCCTTCCTCTTTGCATTAACTTACATCCATTAGCACTGAACAGAGACAGAACTGGGGATGTTTCAAACTACCCTGGTGCAATTATTACCTTACATTTTTCTTAGTTAAAAACAAATACACACCACCTTATTTTTATATGCTTACCTCATTCATGACTGTATCTGCTCCAATGATATAGTCACTATGAGGTCTAAGTCCAGCTAATGCAGCAGGAGAATTAGGTTCCACTTCCTAGTTTCAAGATGGAAAGTTACAAAACACTATGTAACTGTCAGGGTGTAACAGAACAGTTAGACACTTCACTGAAGTTTTGAGTCAGACATACAAACTGGTCAGGTTTTCAACATTATTATTAGTCACTGAATTAATGAAGCAGTGGCTTGATGGCAGTCTCTTCTGATACTGTTATAAGAAGCTCCGAGTATTGTACAAACCCACTGATTTAAACACAAGATTTGATAATATGCTCAACAAACAGTCCTACTTGGAAAGTCTTTCCAAGCCCTTCAAAATTTTTCCAAACTTTCTAAATCAGCAAAAAGAAAACAGACCAATTTGATCTTGTGTACCCCTTTGCAAGTTACTTTTCAGTAAAGAGATAAAAAGTTTAACAGTAAGCAACAGTGAGGAGAACATGTGGAAGTCTGTACGTACCAAAACATGCCATACGTTTTCATTGGCCCCGTCAAAGCTGCAGAAACGAATGCTCACGCCCAACAGGCCCTGTCCACCCCACATGTTGCTGGGGGTCACTGATGTTTCCCTCAGCTCCAGTGTTTTGCTACTGTACACCAGCATTTTTACAGGCTTTTCAACATTTGCTTTCAAGAGGTCCTTGAGAGTATCATTGTCTTTATTCTGTGAATGTTCAAACAAGAACTTAGGTTAGTGTTTATCCAGCAACCATCCAGTTCTATAGCACCACTTTCGTATTTCAAATGTACTATAAATGCTGTGCATTATCAGGATAAGTATCTACAGCTATTTTATAACAAGCTTCCAGTCCCTTCATAATTCTAGAATATAACTCCAGCAAAAGCCTGGGATTTCACAGAAACAGGTTATGCCTTCCAAACATGAAAGCACTTCAATTCAATCTGTGATACAATGTACCTTGCAGCTCTTCAGAGGCTTTCTTGAATCCAGGTGGAAGAGCTTACCCACAGCTGTCCTTTTCCACTGCTGTGATCATGGTTTGCCATCTCACTACAGCTCTGCTTGAAAACCTCCTCCTGTGATTGCTGCCCAGCTAACAGCTTTGACAACAGCTCTTTCAACCAACCTGCTTTGACTGGAGTGAGTTTAAAAGTTCTCACATAAGCAGTTTTGCCAACAGAACTAGGAAAGCACTAACACAAGCAGTGAGTGGTGAGTCAGTAGCAGTTGTCTGCAGAAAGCATGTCTGTCCTCTCTGCATCATTATTCTTGAGCTAATTTTTTTATAGAATTGTACATATTCTGTATACACTTAAATAGAACAAATGCATTGACTTACCTGTCAAGCTAAGATTCACAGCACATTGTTTATATTCAGAGTTATAAAATCGCAACACACTTACCAATCTTGAACCATTAATGGACACGATAAAATCAAAGAATGGCTCCAATCCAGCTCTATGGCCCGGAGAGTTTTCTTGTACCTAACAAAGTTGAACAAGAATTTAGCAGAAGTGCACCAATGCTGGTGCACAGCATCAATCACAGATCAGAATTCTATTTCTACTTGTGCAAACTGTAGCTCTAGAAGCTAGTAATGTCTGTATGACTTTTAAGTGCTCAAATATAACCTTCTGGACCAAAAAAAAAAGTAGAGAAACGTTTTAAAAGAACCAGTAACCTATAAATTATTGAGGAAGGACCAACAGTCACCCCCTGGCATGAGCACTGCTTAACAATTACAGCAGATAAACTGTAGATATTTATGTCAATGAAGGAGGTTATGGTCAAGCTTCATGAACTCCAAAAAAGTTGGTTAAAAAGCTGTAGCTTTCCACAAAAGTACCAGTGTTGGCCCTTGCTTTTTGCCTTACTTACTAGAGGAAAAGGAGAGTCACATCTGTGTAAGCAGGGGTTGTTATCTCATGATTAAACCTCATCTGTTAACATTCTTGAGACACAGAGGACACCTGTACAACCAATGATTTATTAACATATCAACAAGCTGCAAGAAAAGGGACTCCCGCAATTGTGCAGCTATGGCAGCTCAAATAATTCGAACACTCCACTGGGACAAGGCCTAAGTATTGGATACACGTTGCTCCCAGAAGCTTAAAGTATGCTTTTAATTCCAAATGGAGTAACTGAGAGACATTTTGCCAGTGGTGTTTTTTCACTGTTTCAGGCGCTGCTGACTGACAAAAGTAACTCCAATATGGCTACTAGATTTTTCCTACAGCCTCCGTAATAAAGGCTATCTTTCTTTATTCGTAAGCTGATTCATTTTACCCACTGGCTTTATCTTTTATGTGCTGCATTCATCTTCCAAAAATATCTAAACCCCACCCTTTCCAGTGTGCTTTTTACATTATGTGTTATTCCACCTGGCAGAGACGGTATAAATCTGCTGGTCTGTTCAATACTGGTCTGATTTTGCAGGTATTGAGGTTTTTTAATATGACTCATCTAGAACAAAATATTCTAATATGGAAAAATCCCAAACTTGATTAATACTAAAACTATCCTCTTAGAGTCTATTTATCTCTGCCCAACACATTCACAAAATCAGAGCTTGGAAACTCAGATTACTTGTGGGCAGCTTTCTGTAACAGGTGACAGAAGCTGGCACATTAGTGTCATATAATCTACACATTCATTAAAGAATGGAATCGGTAGTTCCAGAGTCACATCACACACAGATTGCTGTCCAAGATTTGCAAAGCAGTAAAAACGTATGAAACCAGCATTATCACAAAGTAATAAAAAAAAAAAAAAAATCACTGAGGCAGCAACAACATCCCCAAACTCCACATTTATCATTTCTGACTAAAATTTGAAGTGTGTCTGGAGAAATAATATCCTACCACTGGGGGTACAGATATTCTCCCTCTCTGCCAAGTATTAATTGTACAGAACCACCAATCTCAACCAACAAAGGAACTTTCAGTCCTGCTAACTAGACCCGAACTACTGCCTCCATGTCACTTACTCAATTCGTTGGTTCAAGATGACTCTCATCAAAGAATAACTAGAGATCAGACTGCAAGATGAGCACCAGGTAACAGGGTAAAAACACAAGCAAAGCTCCATGCAGCAGACCCTCTGACACCAGCAGCATAGAAATTCACAGGCGCGCTGTGTATGTTGCTTTGACATTAGCGGACTGTCCCTTGAGCCCATTTTTAACTTAAATAATGTAGAGCTATCTCAGAACAGCTCCACAGACAGAAATTTTAGCTCATGAGAAAAGGCAGAGAGAGGCTAAAATACACTATATGAATTATACTTCTCAAATTTTGCTTACTAAGTTGGGTACTCGAGGCCTTCCTGCCAAAGATAAGTTAACCAGTTTCACAAAAGCAGAATTCAAGAACTCTGTTTTCCTGTGGACATGCTCCATAATTGCATGCTCAGGCTTGAAGTTTCTCTTGTAATTAAGTAATACAAAACATTCTCTCCTCTGATGTGTTTTTTCTAGTAGCAAATGTAGAACAAGCTTGTGCTGTTTGTTGTTCTTCCCTCAGTTTAGGGAGGTGATGTGAAAATACTTTAATAGCCTCTCTCTCTCTCATTCTACCGCCTATGGCATGTGACATACAAGAACTCACATTTTGTGTTTTTAAAAGCCTGCCATAAAGGCTTTATACCAGAATGAAATCAGCAGATGGTTTCAGAAGTCACTGAGAAAATAAGAATTTTAAAGACAGAACATGTCTGTCTAAACCTCAGCATTAAAAAAAAAAATAAAAACATCAGTAAATCCAGCAAACTGATACATTTATTCTGATCACAGAGCAGATTTTTAGGATGTATGTCATGGCCCTGAAATTATGAAAAGCCAGACTTCACTCAGCCAGTAGAACAGCTGCAAAAGCAGTCCTGACACGGTTCACACTTTATCCAGAGATTTTACTCCATTTCTAAATGAGCTTCTTAAAAAAAACCCAAACAAAATCCCTACGCAATATCCCTCCCTCATGGCCTCTGATAGGTTATACCTTGAATGCTGTGACCCATTTTCAATAAGGCCAAATTTTAAAATGAGAAGGAGCACCTATGATAAGTGAGACTTACATATGTTCAGCATCCATCGATGTCAGCCTCCAAGCTGACACCTGGGATGTACAGATTTGGTATTCTAAGCAAATTATTTACAGTCTGCCCCAAACTGATGAAGGGGCTGTGAGACCTTCCAATTAGTCTGCAGAAAGTACCTTCAGATGTTAAGCTCGTTCCCTCAAATCCATCACAATCCTGAACACTTCTGAATGGTTCATTTCTAAGCGGCCATGTAAAAACTACCAGGAAGCTGTATCTAAAAGAAATCAAGCTCTTAGAGTTGTATCCATCACACATGCATCTGCATCCCTTCTGTGATCAGTTCCTCATGCTGCCATGCACAGGTTCAGTGACAAGAAGCTTCCTATTTCCCTCTCTTTTTTGGCCCAGCATCACTGGTGGAAAAGCATTTATATGCCTGGCAGACCCAGAAATTCAGAACAGAAGTTCTGAATTTGTTCCATATGAAAAGTCTCCTGCTTAAAGGACAGACATACTCAGCCTCACACAAAAATCACCACTAGCCCCATACAGCTTTTATGTCACACAACCTTATTTTCAGGCAGCTACCTAGAAACTTCATTACCACAGCAGTGCCAAAAGCACTACATGGAGCTCTGCTCAAAGCTCTGGGGCCGCGATTCTCTTCCAGGAACTACAGCAATAAAGGAGAATCAGGGACCTAAGGAAATAAAAGTGCACAAAAACCTCATTAATGATGGAAATAAAGATTCCATGTATATGTACATACACTGTGGACCTCCTGAGCAATCTGTCTTTGTGCAGCTTTCTGTATGCCCCAAGCAGGTATTCAGTAACTTGCCTTTGTAATTGAATAAGGACTGTGAAATAATCAAGTAATACCATTTACAACAGATGCCGCTGCAGGCATGGCAGTTTGGAAAGCCTAATCCTCCCAAAGCCAGCTGTTATTTCAGACATATAAGTTACAGACACCTGTGGGTAAATGCCATGACTTTCTAACAGAAGAGAAACAATAGTGGAACAGGCGGAGAGGAGAAGCTGTGGAACTGCCACCACTGGAGCTTTTTAAGAGCAAGCGAAGACAACCTCTATCAGGAACACTGAATGTCAGAAGGCAGAAAAGGGCTGGATGACTTTTCCAGCCCTGTACAATGCTGCAGGACTCGTTCCTCCCCAAGATGACAGCAGGGCTGCTGAGCACACAGATTAAACACAAATTATTTCACTTTTAATTCACTGTCAAGAATTAAATGGGGAAAAGGTTTCAAAGTCAAGACACTAATTTTAAACTGCACTACTAAAAAGACTTCTTTGTCAGTAAATACATAACGTTTCTCTTTGCTGAACACCTTTCTCAACACTATCACTCTATGCCTACACAGTATACACTGTACATTACACATTATAAGGCTGCTCAGCAACACAACGGTCACAAATTTAAGCCCCAAGCAAGCAGTGCTACTATGAATGGAATTAGGCACAGTAACTGATTTTCAGAGGCAGATGAAGGCTCTTACCACTTTTGAGAGTCAGATAACTTATACAAATGTCCACTTAAACTTTCAGAAGCTTAGCCGCAAGCACTCAATACACAACTTTTAAGGAGCAGAAGCTCAAGCTCCAAAGCTTCCCCCCACCCCACGCAAGAAATGGTTCCTAATATTAAATTAATTACCAATGAAATGCTGAAAGAAGTTTTTCTGTAGTTCTTTCACTGACTGTAATTGGTAATAAAATTTCATTGTGTATCACATATAAGCAATTTCTGTTTGGTCCAACCACCTATTGCATTTCTGTCAGCTATTTTAACACATTACATGGCATAACTGTATTGAATTTCCTTATGAAACATCCAGTTTTCAAGAAAAAAAGCTTTATAAGCTTTCTGCAAGAAAATAGATTGCCTATATGAGCACCTTTTGTAGGGAGGGGCGCAGAACCAAACACAGTATTCAAGGTGCAGCACTCAGTACAGGGGGATGATCACTTCCCTGGTCCTGCTGGCCACACTATTTCTGATACAGGTCAGGATGCTGTTGGCCCTCTTGTCCACTTGGGCACAAGCTGGCTCATGTTCAGTGGCTGCCAATCAGCACCCCTGGGTCCCTTTCCACCTGTCAGCTTTTCAGCCACTCTTCCCGAAGCCTGCAGGTTGCATGGGGTTGTTCTGACATCATCTATTAGTTGAAGAAATTGTCAAGCCATTACAATAGCCAGGGCAAACTGCAGCAGCTTTGCACTGCCGAACAGGAAACTAATCTAAACTTTTCCTTCTTTCTGTTTTGAAGAGAGAAACAAATGCATACTGAGCAACACCTAGAGTCAGACAGCTGCTCTAATCAGACACACAGCTTCTGTTAAAGGAAGCTTACAGAGGAGAAAAAACAAACAACAGAGAAAATTCCTGGAGGTAAGTAGCACTGCATACTACTGGCCTGGGAGGTACTAGTTAAATGGAAGACTTAGGAGTGTTTTACATGAATCAGTAAACAGAAGCCTAAGAGCAAGAAACAAGATATGATGAATAAAAATGCATTTGAAAGAACTGTTTCAAATAAATGACTAATTATTAGTTCTTCCTGTGAAGAGATCAGGGCAACACAGCTGTTTGTAACTTTCTTTTTATTTAAAAAAAGAATAAAAATGGGGCTACATTTCAATGTCTAGAAACCCAAACAGCACAACCCATAGTGACTTTTCCTGCATGCACACGATTAAATCATTTTCCTTCAACAGCACTTCAGTCCTGAAGTGTTCCTATTTCCTGTAACAAGTGCACTGATAATAAAGTCCACAGCAAAAGCGGTATTGCACCGAATATTAGCAGGAGCAGCCAAAAAGATTTAAGTAAACTGCAAAACTTATGTCAAAACTTACTGATGGTATTGTTAACTTGCTGCATATATTTCTACTCCTGTTTGAAGTGATCAGAGCAAGAGACTTGCTACCAGTTTTGTAGGGAGGCAGCCTGTGCAGTTTAAAAGTCTCACTGTAAGAAACCTGTGATTTGCAACAGTCTCAGTGTGCACATCCCTCTGGCAACTTGTACTCTGCTCCTACCATCATTCTGAACAACTTTAACTCATTTGCTTCATGGCCTTTTAACACATTTTTCAATTATTTGTCCTACCCAAACAAACTCTTCCAATAACTAACATTTCTCTAGTTTTCCACAACTAATGAAATCTTTAAAACACCCACTACATGCTATTTATGGAAGTTTGGCATTATCAAAGAAATCTGACCTTATCTGAATTAGCTCTGTCACACTGAAAGACTACCGATGGTTTCCTTCACCATTCTTCTTTATCTGAATAATTTAATGAGCTCAGAAATAAAGTCTGCTTGAGAAGAAATTAGATGAAAATTGTGGTATTGATTGACCCCAAGTTCTACCAAAAGTTGATCCACGCAGACAGAACATTTGTGCAGAGCTCCTCTAACCATGTGAGCCAAGCAAGCAGTCTGTCACAAACTTACTATAGAAATCCAACCGGAAAACTAAACTTGGAAAAAAAAGGGGAGGAAAACTCTGGTCACTTGTATGCCACATGCATTTCAATATAAGCATTCCAAATTACAACTGTGAAGCTTTATAATTTTTCTCTACTCTGAATCTATGCTCCCAACTCCATATAAGCACAGGCCTGATTCCTGTTAGACTGGGATCATGATGCAATTTAAGATGCCTGTCCACAGGAAAAAAAAAAAGAAAACTGCTCTTTGTGTGGCATCTGAACAGCAAGATAAGGCAGGGAAAGAGAGACATCAGCCTAAGACAACAGGCAGGTCCCTGTTCTTCCTGCACTTAATGTCGATACAGCTGTCCTCTCAGAAATCTACTTCTTTAAGGTGCACCTACCAACTACATTTACAAAGACTGGCAATCAAACGCTGCCACTTCGAGTCATAACAAAAACATTACAACCAAAAGGAGCTTAAATGAAAACAGAAGGTGACAGATTCAAGAAAGATTACAAGAAAAAAAACCAAGCAGATTATACCTCGTAGGAGATATGCATCTCAATTTACTAATGTGCTTTAATCAAAGTGCAAATCGACCAATCCAGCATAACTGATACTCCCACTGCAGAGCACTCACTGATTTTAGAACCCTCAAAAACAGAAAGCACTAAAAAAAAAGTCTGCCACTTTTACCAAACCACAAGTGGTTTTTTTGTGGGGAAAAGGAAAATACAAAAAGGACTGTTACACATTAGTAACACTGGAGTGCTAAATATTAGTAACAATAAAAGGGAGAAGTAAAGACCACTATATATAAGTTTTAAGAGATGAATGTTTGGATTTGAGCAGACGACCAACGTTTGGTTCTCAAAAGCATGACAAAAGCATTTTCTAACACTTGAAAGATGATCTCTGTTCTTTTTTCACCATGATACTCTAACACATATTTGTAGCTCACCACTAGGCAAGATCCATGTGTTCTTGCACATGTCTAAAACAGGGGGATAGCTCCGAACAGAGCGTGGATCTGAGAAGGTCTGATGCCAACAAAAACCTGGCCCAGCCCAGTGCACACAGTAAGGGTGCTCCAAGCTTCAGCTACAGTGTCAAGAGCGCAACGGTGTGGGCAAGGTTATTAGTAACTCCTGCAAAGTTACTGTATCACCTAGCACAGCAGATTCAAGGACACAACCCAGGTACCCCTCCCCTCACTGACCGCGAAGGCCACGCTAAAGAACGGGCTTCCAAAAGCCTACACAAGAGACCTCTAACACAGCCCGGAAAATTTTGTGGCACACAAACCTGAACTTTAGTGGCCGCAATGCGAGCAAACCCTACGTAACTATGAAAATAGGTTAAAAATACCTATGAAGGTAGCTCTGGCAAGTGTCATGCCTGTCGCTTAAATACCTTGATCTAAGCCCCCAGAAAGGGGGAAGCAGCTACAGTTCAGATACTGATGCAACGATCTAGAGCCTGACGTGTCAGCCGGGCCAGGCACCGGAGGGCTGCGTTCGGACGTGTCAAGCCCGTGTGCTCGCAGCCTTTTCTCTGGAGCGGCTGCCTTGCCCCCCCCAGGGCTGCCCCAAAGCAGCACCAGCTCCCGCGCACCGGCCCTCCCGGCCCGGTTACAACCCGAAGCGCAGGCAGAGCATCCCCCGGCAGTTCCGGGCCGCCCAGACCTCAGTGACCGGGCAGAGATGGCTCGGAGCCCGCGGGGCTGCCGCCGCGGGCCGAGAGCAGGCCGCGGGCAGCTCCACGCAGCTGTGAGGCAGCGCGGGACCGAGCCGTTCCGACGGGCCGCCCGTGAGCCCCGCTGCTCCGGGAACGGAAGCCGGCAGCGGGGCGGAGGCCCGGCCGCCACCACTGCCCGAGCGCCTCCTCCGAGCCGGGAGAGAGCGGCGAGGCCGCCCGGCTTGGGGAGCCCTGCGGGGCGCTCAGGCGCGGAACCACGCAGAGAGGCCGCCGGGCCCCAAAGACCAGCACCTGCCTAACGACCACCGAAGCGCCTGCCCACCTCCCTTACCCGCAGGACGTGGTAGCCCTCGGTGCCCCCTCCGGGGATCTCGACGCTCTGCGAGGAGCCCATGGCTCGGGGCGAGCAGCGGCGGCGCTGTTCCCCGCACAAAGCCCCACGCACGGAGACGTGGCACCCGCTCCCTCCCCTCTCCCGCCCGACTCGGGAGGGGCGGGAGAAGGCCGCGCGCGGAGCATGCCGGGAGGCCGCGCCGCAGCGCCCCCTGCCGAGCACCCCCCTCTGCTAGGAGGAAGCGGAAGCCGTGCGGCGGTTAGGACAGCCCCCGCCGGGGAGGCGGAGGCAGTACGGTGGCTGCCGTGGACCAGCGCCCTCCAGCTCGCCTCTGGCGCGGCGGCGCCCCCTCGCGGCTGAGGGTGGTAAGGCGTCTGTGCGCGCACGGGCTGGGAAAAAACGGCGGTGGTGGATAGGAGCAGCTAATGGATGTGTACTAGCGTTAATTACATTAATAGTAAATAATAAAGTTATGTAACAGTAATATAATAATATTATAGTAAATAATGTGTTATACTAATATTATATTATAGTAAATAGGTGCACAGAACATAAAGAGGGAAAGGTGGGGGTCAAACCAAACCTGCGCATTCTCTAGTCCTGCAGCTCCCTGCAGAGTTCAGGGCAAGCTGTGATTCTGGGGGCTCTGGAGGCCCCTCCATCCTGGGCTGGAGCACACTGTGCACCTTGAAGGGATTCCCAGGCACACCTGAAGTGGTCTGGTAGCTGGAGCTGAAGTGAAAGGACTAATAATCATAGGATCACATAATCAACTAGATTGGAAAACCTTTAAGACCTTTAAGACCATCAAGTCTAACCATTATCCCAGGACTGCCAAGACCACCACTAAACCATGTTACTAAGGGTCTCATCTACACAGTTTCTGAACACTTCCAAAAGTGGTGATTCCACCACTTCCCTGGGAAGCCTGCTCCAATGTCCGATTACCCTTTCAGTGAAGAAATTTTTCCTAGTATCCCATCTAAAATAATGCGTTGGTGAGAAGAGACTGGGTGAAAAATGTCACCCAGGAGCAGCATTTGGGGTTAACCTGTCTGAGGGCACGTGCGTGCTCACAGACATTATCAAGGTAAGGGGATAGGTTCTTGCTGCAGATGCAGGGTGTGCGGTGACACACAGCAGACATCTGCTCTCAGCTCACCTGTACAGGGAGAACTGCTGACTGGTGGAACACACCGTGCATCCAGTGGGAAAATCCAGCCTCAAGCCAACTTAGTGCCACCTTGTAGCTGGAGGAGGTGGATGGTGATGTATCAGGGAGCATTATGAGCTGAGGTTTAGACATTCTCTCCAAAAGTGTCCCTTGTGCCTAGAAGCCTCCAGATGAAGTTTTTGCACAGCCTTCCCATGCAAAACTGTGCCTCTTGCCTCTGGTACCACACATCTCCTGGGAGAGGAGAGCTCTTTTAAGGAGTGCTGCAGACACACGCCATTTCAGTAATGCAGAAACTGTTTGATAGTGAGCTGGAGCACAATATTAAAGGTCCTCAACTGAAAAAAGAAATTCAGATTATCATACCTCACTTCTTTTGGACGCATTTCCCTCTGTATTATAGAATCATATAGAATCATAGAATAGTTAGGGTTGGAAAGGACCTTAAGATCATCTAGTTCCAACCCCTCTGCCACGGGCAGGGACACCTCACACTAAATCATGTCACCCAAGGCTCTGTCCAACCTGGCCTTGAACACCGCCAGGGATGGAGCATTCACAACTTCCCTGGGCAACTCATTCCAGTGCCTCACCACCCTTACAGTAAAGAACTTCTTCCTTATATCCAATCTAAACTTCCCCTGTTTAAGTTTTAACCCATTACCCCTTGTCCTATCACTACAGTTCCTAATGAAGAGTATCTCCCCAGAATCCTTATAGGCCCCCTTCAGATACTCTTCTTCACGCTGAACAGCCCCAACTTTCTCAGCCTATCCTCATACGGGAGGTGCTCCAGTCCCCTGATCATCCTCGTGGCCCTCCTCTGGACTTGCTCCAACAGTTCCATGTCCTTTTTATGTTGATGACACCAGAACTGCACACAATACTCCAAGTGAGGTCCCACGAGAGCAGAGTAGAGGGGCAGGATCACCTCCTTCGACCTGCTGGTCACGCTCCTTTTGATGCAGCCCAGGATACGGTTGGCTTTCTGGGCTGTGAGCTCACACTGAAGCTGGCTCATCGACCAACACCCCCAAGTCCTTCTCCGCAGGGCTGCTCTGAATCTCTTCTCTGCCCAACCTGTAGCTGTGCCTGGGATTGCTCCGACCCAGGTGTAGGACCTTGCACTTGGCATGGTTAAACCTCATGAGGCTGGCATCAGCCCACCTCACAAGCATGTCAAGGTCCCTCTGGATGGCATTCCTTCCCTCCAGGGTATCAACCGAACCACACAGCTTGGTGTCATCGGCAAACTTGCTGAGGGCGCACTCAATCCCACTGTCCATGTCAGCGACAAAGATGTTGAACAAGACCGGTCCCAACACCGATCCCTGAGGGACACCACTCGTTACTGGTCTCCAGCTGGACATTGAGCCATTGACCACAACTCTTTGTGTATGGCCATCCAGCCAGTTCTTTATCCACCAAGTGGTCCATCCATCAAATTGATGTCTCTCCAGTTTAGAGACAAGGATGTCGTGTGGGACAGTGTCGAACACTTTGCACAAGTCCAGGTAGATGACATCAACTGCTCTACCCCTGTCCATCAGTTCTGTAGCCCCATCATAGAAGGCCACCAAATTGGTCAGGCAGGATTTCCCCTTAGTGAAGCCGTGCTGGCTGTCACCAAGCACCTTGTTGTTTTTCATGTGCCTTAGCATGCCTTCCAGGAGAATCTGCTCCAAGATTTTGCCAGGCACAGAGGTGAGACTGACTGGTCTGCAATTCCCTAGGTCATCCATTTTCCCCTTCTTGAAAATGGGGGTTATATTTCCCTTTTCCCAGTCATTGGGAACTTCATCATCAGTGTTTTACTGGTTAGTATAAAAGCCTCATTGCACTGTGCATGGGATATACCCCAGTGCTGCCTACTGAGAAGACCAACCCCCTTCCCAGCCTTGGCTGCCTCTCTGTGCCCAGGTGTTTCTCCAGCCACTCTTGTCAGGTATGGCCATTTCTGGATTGTCTGCATACCAGGTCAGACGTGTTTGCTTCCCTACATCTCTCTTCATCATTACAAGAAGAAATAAACTCTAGGATACCCAGAGGCAGCAATACAAAGTAAGAAGGCAAAGTTAATATTGTATGAATAAACTATATCTTCCGAGATTTTCTGTGCTTCTAATGCAGTACAAGAAATTTGTTACAGTGAGATGATAAAGTAAAAAGTCACACAAAGAGGGCTAAAAACTCTACCAATTTGAGCAAATCTTATGCTTCCATGCACATGCTATTTAGTTTCAGGGAGAAAATCCCAGCCATATTCATTTCTTTCTTGCTATTAGAGGTTCATGAGAGGCAGCAGTATAATATAGTGCGATCCAGGGACAGCAGCTGTGGTTTACCACCCTTTATCTAAAGCTTCCTAAAGGATCCATAGCTGGTGGCAAGCTACCACCCACAGTCTCTCCCACCCACCTTCACTCTCTTCTGGGAGAGTGGCTCCTGTATGACACCTCTCCTTATGCTGCTAGGCAGGTGTTAGCAATTTTATGTATTGCTTGTAGGTTTGCTGCAGCCATGAGGCAGATGCTAGCCAGATGTTGTCCTCCTGGCTGACTGGCTCTGTGAGGCCAGCCCCTCCTTTGTCGAGGACAAACCTATAGGTGAAAACCTTCATTCAATGAAGGCTTCTCTAGGGTATATTCAGTTTCATTACCTTGCTTGTGGAAGGGAAGACACATGAATTACTATTTCTGTGTTAAGAAAAGAAAAAATACTACAATTCAAGCAACTCTGCAGTGGGTTGCTTATCTTCCCAGCCAAAGCCCCATAAATCCCAGAGCATTTTTTTGACCACACAGTAAATTTCAGTGACGATTCTGTTTCCCCAGAGATTATGAAGGGGTGAGTAACCCTGGAGCTGATAAACATTTCATTAATGGCCAGGATTTCCTAGTCAGAGTTTATGTTTGGTCAGATGTGATAACTGTTCATGTGCTCCATTGAAGACAATAAATCCTCACTTCGGCCTGTTGCATTCCTCATCCTTGAAGCGTTATCTCTCAGCAGGGGTTACTGTGAGCACTACATCACAGAGAAACACACTGTGAAATGGCACTTAGAATAGTATTGAACTGAACTGGTCATTGAAGGCAATGACCTTTCCTGGGACATTAAAGATCTGAACTGTGATTCCTTTGGGGGAATAAAAAATGTTACCCCAAACTTGATAATTCTGTCCACCAATACCAGAACCAAAACAGCAACTGAGTTTTGCCATCAGAAAGTTGCCATTTTGACATATATGTGCTTGAAAATCCCTCACGCACTTCCATCTGGCCTCTAAACACGTAAATAGCATCAAAGCTGGGATTGGCCAAATCCCATAGTGCTGATTTTATGACCTTAACTTCTAATTACCTGGCTCCCAGTTAGTGGCAAAGCCAAAACCACCATGTACAAAGCAGAAGGTGAAGAAAGCCTCTGTCACTGGCAGTAACACTTTTGCAGCTGAATTCTGCTCCTGCCACCACTGAGAGGTGTGCGCTCGTGAAAGGGAATATAAATTATATCTACTCTGAGTGCAGCTGCAAGAGTGAAATCCTATCAAAGGAGGAATGCTCCTGATGTTTCCTGAAGGTGCTAGTGGGGAAAGAAGGTGATGGAGATTTTGCAGCTCCATGAATCTGCTCAGACATTACACCCTCTGAGAGCCAGCCAGTACTGTTGCACTGATAGTCAGTTTGTCTTATTCAAAGAAATTCTATTTCTCTCTTCCTCAGGAGATCTGTAAAACTTTCATGCCTGGATATGATGAACCCGGAAATGGCAGATGTTTTTCGTTCTTCTTAATCACTCAAGTCAACCTCTTCAGATAAATATGAAGCTGGCCCCTCTCTGAAGACATAAACTACACGCATTGCTGCAAGACCTGAGATGCCTCACCACAGCATCTCAGCTTTCCATCAAAATGCTATCACTCCTTCTGGGCTGGCTCCACCTCGGTGAAGAAATATGTTCTCTGCAGATGTCCATTGATTCCCATTAAGGGCTGAACGAAGC